GTAGTATGTCTTATGGGGACTGTTTCTTGTCTCCCACTCCATTAGACAAAAATTACAATTGAATAACGATCAAAAAACTAAAAGCACATGGACAAAAAACACATCATGTAATCACACTAACAATAACCAAAAAAAGAGAACTGGGAAAAAGAACAAGAAAAAACAAGGACACCTGCAATATCTGGGGATAGGGCACTAAGGGAAAAAATGTAGAGAAGGAGAATAGTGAAGAAAAAAATGGGAAAAATGAAAATGAAAAACAAGGAATGGGGTTAGCCACGAGAAAAAAAGGGGGAAAAATTAAATTAAAAAAAAAAATTTGAACCAGGAACAGGGAAAAGAAAAAATGCTGAAAACCAGGACCTGGGATGGGAAGAATAAGAATAATATAAAAAGGACAAAAGTATTATTAATAATAGTTCTTTTAAAACAGACAATTATAAGCAAACTAATCACCAGAATAAAGAGTGCGAAAAAGAAAAAAAATAAAATAAGAGAAAAAAAAAATCAGTGGAGGACAAGGCAGGGCACCCAGACTCTGTCTGAGCACACAGACTGTGATGGAGTTCCTGTGGGCCCAGAAGGTAGGTGGGAGTGTGGAATGGCCACACCTCCATTCACCAAGCAGATGTGGGGTATAAGAATAACAAGAGGAATGTCGCATCTTTTCAGTCTTGCAGGTCTGGAGTGTCCTTGGGGTTGCTGGCAAGCCGAATGTGTCCTAAGCCCCTGGAATCTGCAAGAGCGCTGTCTCTTTAAATATCCAAAATAGTCAAGCCACTTGTGAACATTCAAAATGGCAGCATCCTCCAGACAGGCAAAAGTCCACAGCTCAGCCCGCGTTTCTCTTCACCTTCTCCATTTATTCCCCAGCCACAAGAGCAGTCCTCTGTGCAGTCCCTGGCTAGCAAGGCTGATTTTTTAGGTATATCTTAGGTCCTACAACTACTCGGCACTCTCAAAGCTGTCTGTGCCGGCCGTCAGGATCACTGCCAGACCACAGCTCCATCCGTCTCCTTTTTTTGGTATTTTCATGCAAATTCTTCTGCTAGTTGGGGTTTAGGCCACTTCTATATCCTTCCCTTCAAGGCTCAGGGGTCCAGGATTATCTTCTGTGTGTGCTTTAATTGGTTTTCCTTTCCTTTTTGAAGAGGTTCGGTGCAGTCTTTCTGCCTCATCCACCATCTTACCAGCTATCAAAGCCATGGTATTTTCAATCACCTCATATGCATGTAAGCTCAACAATGAATACAGAAAACCGCAGAAGAATTGATGTATTCGAACTGCAGTGTTGGCAGAGTGTATTGAATATACCATGGACTTCCAGAAGAACAAATAAATCTGCCTTGGAAGAAGTATATCTGGAGTGCTCCTTGAAAGTGAAGATGGCAAGACTTTGCCTCATGTAGTTGAGACATATTATCATGCTTTAGACATGCTTCAGTCCCTGAAGAAGGACATCAAACTTAGTAAAGTAGAACATCAGAGAAAAAGAAGAAGGCCCTCAATGAGATGTACTGACACAGTGGCTTCAACAATGGGCTCAAACAACAATGATTATGATGATGGTGCAGGACTATATAGTGTTTTCCTCTGTTGTACATAGTGTTGCTATGAGTTGGAACCAACTTGATGACACATAACAACAACAATAAAGTGAATAAAGGAACTTATTCCTCAGCACAATCAACTGCAAAAGACCAAAAGGGCAGCATTTGCCCAAAAACAAAGCTCAGAAGGCAGGAAGGAGCAGGAAAGAAGGAGAAATGAAACAGGGAACACAGGAAGGAAGTAGGAAGTGTGTTGTTACATTGAGGAGATTGCAACTAGCATCACAAATCAAAATGTGTATAAACTGTTGAATGGAAAACTAATTTTCTCTATAAACTTTCACCTAAAACACAATAAAAAGTTCTAAGAAAACTCCCTCCCCACTGCATATTGTTTCTCCTATTAACATCTTGCATTCTTGTGGTATATTTGTTACAACTGATGAATCAATATTGATACATTCTTATTAACTAAAATCCATAGTTTACATTAGAGTTTACTTTTTGTGTTGTACAGTCCTATGGGTTTTGACAAATACTTAATGTCATGTGTCCACTGATTAACAGTAATTTTGAAATTAAAGCAAACAAGGTCATGATATAATTTTTGAAGCCTAACAAAAGTCAAGATAAAGAATAAAGTCATAATTTACTGGCCCAAAGATGTCTGCATCTATTTAAACACTTAATATATTTCTTCTGCTAGGAATAAAAACACTTACCTTGAACCACAACATCTGGCTTTGGTACAGTAGAAAACCTACGATTCAGGGGATCAATTTCTCCAGGAGCTAAAAATCCCTAAAGAAAAACCATAAAAAGGCATACTAGTAGTAAGTACATATTGAAAAAAGCTAATGTTTGGGGGTAAACCACATTCCAATGCCTATAAGCCTCCACCATAATATGTAAGAAGCAGGTATGGTTAGGAAACAAATACCTTCACTGTATGAAAACGTTTAAACTGCCCAAACTTGTATTCAAATTAATTTTATCTAGAGTTAATTTCTAGTGGCTACCACTTATTCTTTTCTTGGAAATAGGAAGGGTGTAAGTTATAAATAAATAAAGAGTGTTCTCAACATCCTCTGACTTCTGTGGGTATGCATATGATCTAGATTATCAGACCACAATGCTTATAATCAATTATTATATTAATTAGTCCTTTGTATTAATATTAATTATATTAATACTAATTAATTAGTCCTTTTTTCTCATCTATTAATATGTCTGCTACACTTCCTGCTCAGCAGAAATTTTTTTACTTGACTTCAGTTTCTGTCCTTTATGAAGTACTATGAACTCTCATTTTCCCCTTAAGAATACCACTCATTTCCTACTTAGTTCACTGTATTTAATTTATTCTAATTGAAAAAGAAAGTCACTAGGTAAGGATTATTTCAAACAAATTATCTGCTCATTTTCACTAGATTCATATTCACATCAAGTAAAGATAATCAAACAGCCAACCAAACTCACTGCCACTGAGTTGATTCTGACTCATAGTGACCCACATTGGGTTTCCAAGGCTGTAAATCTTTATGGAAGCAGACTGCCTCATCTTTCTTCCATGGAGTGGCTGAGGGGTTCGAACCACTGACTTTTGGTTAGTAGCCAGATGCCTTAACCACTACACTACCAGAGTTCTTTCAAAGAACCATCGCCACAGCA